CAGCCCTCCCCGCACCCCCCCCCCTCCCCACCCCGCTCTCTTCCATCTCACAACAGCAATAGGGTCCCCTTGTCCTCACCTACCATCCCAACAGCATCTACATCCAGAGGATCAATTCCGCCACCTCCAGCAGGATACCACCACCAGACACATATTCCCCTCTCCTCTCTTGTTAGCCTTCCACAAGGACTGTTCACTCCTGGACATCCTGATCCTCTCCTTCACGCACAACACTCCCCAACAACCCTACAGCACCTTCCCTTGCAACCACAGAAGGTGAACCATCTGCCCATTTACTTTCTCCCTCGTCAGTATCCAAAGGCCCAAACACACCTTTCAGATGAAGCAGCGCTTCACCTGCACTTCAGCCAATCTAGTCTACTGCATTCACTGCTCACAGTGTGGTCTCCTCTACGTTAAGGAAACAAGAGTGTAGACTGGGTGATCATTTCACAGAACGCTTATGTTCTGTCCACAAAAAGACCCTCAACTTCTAATTGCCTGCCACTTAAACACACTACCTTGTTCCCTGGCCAGCATCTGTGTCTCGGGCTTGCTGCACTGAACCAGCAAACCTCATTTTTCACTTGGGAACTCTACAATCTTCTGACACAGTATAGAGTTCAATAATTTTAGGGCTTGAGGCACCTTCTCCCATGTCCTTACCCCAAACCCCTTACTTCCGGTCTTGTTACCACATGTTTTGCTATTACACAGTGCCTATTTTTAGCTTCTAATAGTCCCCTATTAGCAGCCATTCATTCTACTAGGCTGGCCATTATCTACTCCTTTCTCCAACTGTTCCTCTGTCTCTTTCGGCTTCATCTCCACGTAACGTCAACGCCCCCACCCCCAACACTCCCCACCTCCCGCCCCATCTTCTGCATAGAAACCAACTTTTTCCTAGCTACCATCAGTTCTGGTGGTCACTGGTCCGAAAACATTAATTCTGATTTTTCTCCACGGAAGCTGCCAGTCTTGCTGTGCTTTTCCAGCAATTTCTGTTTTTGGATCAAAATTACTACATCAGAAGAAGAGCTCATAGTGTAGAGGGTAACATTAACATGGATAGAAAGGTTCGTTAGTTTAAGGAAGGCAGAGAGTAAGGATAATGGGTTCTTTTCATGTTTGTAAAATGTAGCAAGTAGAGTGCTACAGGGATCCATTTTGGGGTCTTCAATACATGTTAATGACTGGATTAAGGGACTGAAGATACGGTCAGTAAACTTACTGATGATACAATGATAGGCAGGAGAGTAAACTGTGTGGAAGGTGTAAATAATCCGCAAAAAAATTTTCAGTAGGTTAAGTGAACGGTCAAAAGTTTAGCAGACTGCGTATAATGTTGGAAAATGTATACGTGCCCACTTTGGTAGGAGGAATGAAAAATCAGAATATTATTTACATAGAAATTGCAGACTCTCATGTACAGAAGGTGCATGAATTACAAGTTAGTATGAAGATACAAGTGATAAGGCTGACATGAAATGGTGTTGTAAGCCTGCATCCATTAGAAGAATGAAATATGATCTTATTGAAACATAAGATCCTGAGGGATTTTGCAATTTGGATACTGAAAGGGTGTTTCCAATTTTGGAAGCACATATATATTTATGAATTATGAGAATTGATGAATAGAAAATTTAGATAATTCTTCAGTTGCAAAGGGTCAAAGAGAATTCGGGATTGTCTGCTGTTTACAAAACTCAGCTGATGTTTTGGAAAGTGCAACCCCAAGCTTTACTGAGAGTGAGGATAAGGATGGGTATTATTACTTAAATTGCTGGACAAGCAGCTTAGATTAGAAAAATTGTAAGGACCTATTGTTGGCGAACAACAGCCTCTGAACTCTCCTTTCTTTCTGTCTCTCTCGTATGCCCTTTCTTGTGCTCACCTGTCTCTCTTTCTTTCTTCTCTCTCTCTCTCTCTCTCTCTCTTTTTTTCTCTTTCTCTCTCTCTCTCTTTTTTTCTCTTTCTCTCTCTCTCTCTCTTCTCTCACTGTCACCCATGCTCTCTCACCTTCAATAAGTGTGCTGCGGATCTTGAAAATATCAAATATCAGGTTGTTAACTATTTCCCATTTGAACCAGAAATCTAGTCTGAAGATCTTCTGTCACTGTGCAACTAAAAGGAATTTGGGTGGCTTGTGTGTGGAATGAACTGCGAGGAAATGGTAGATGAAAGTACAGTTACAACATTTAAAAGGCATTTTCACAGGTACATGAATAGGAAAGGTTTAGAGGGTTATGGGTTAAACAGGCAAGTAGGACTAGTTTAATTTGGAAAACTCGGTCGGCATGGATGAGTTGGATTGAAGGATCTGTTTCGATGCTGGATGACTCTGACTCTGTCTGCACTCAAACACTTGACGTACAGGGACATTGGTCCTTTTCTTGCCTATTTTCTCACATCCACAATACCTCTGCACGGCTGTGACATCTTATCCTGTCTGTGCGTGAATGTGTCTGTGTTTGGGGTAAGGGCAGTACAGTATAATCCTGCACAGAAGCTTCATTAATCAATGATTTAACAAAGTGTAGAGCTGGATGAACACAGCAGGCCAAGCAGCATCATAGGAGCAGGAAGCCTTCCTGCTCCTATGAT